GAGGTTCCCTCCTAGCTAGGCTAGCCACTACATGAGCGTGTGCCTTCATTGTATGCTCCGGCTGTTGAATCACAATCTCATTATTCGTTAATCTGCGCACTCTCCTTTACAACTCATAACACCTGGTATCAGAGCTACTTTCCTAGTTCACCCCGCTTTTCGAGGGTAGTTTGGTGGCATGGGTGTGGCTGGTATAGTGGACTACACGACGGTTGGCCGCAGGGTTTGTTAATTCAAACCTGCCCGACTCCGATAGCTCGTGTTTTCCATTCGCCTGAAGGCCACGGAGACCCGCTTGCCCACCAGACGTAGTGCTAGACACATGGATCAGGAGGCGGTTAACAGACTCATGGCGCAAGTGGCAGAAATGCAGGAGGGCATGAAGTCATTAATGGCAGAAGTGACAACCTTATGTGGAGAAAACGCCGAGCTACGCCAGGCGCGAGGTGAAGCGCTCCAGTTTCGCCCGATGACGAAGGCGAGGGCAATAGTCAAGCGGTGAGCAACCCGTTGGACGCGCTCACACGTGACTTTGAAGAGGAAGACAGGCAGCGAGCGGCAGCAGCGCCAGTTGCAGTAACGACGATCAATATTAAACCCGTCAACCCGCCCCCGTTTAATCCTACGGACAAGACGACTACGGTGAAGGGATGGCTGTTCGGTGTCGAAGTCTTTTTCACTGCAGCAGGTGTGAACGACGATGCCACGCGTATTAATTACGCGGATTCGCTTCTCTGAGGCGCAGCGCTTGAGTGGTGGTGCCGAACCTTGGAGACGGGGACCCCGACAGGTGTGACACATGCGGCAGACGGGACCTCAACAGTGACTAATCAAGTGGCGGAACCGATCTTTGGAGTGACCAAGATACGCATGTGGAGAGAGTGGGGCGCAACCTTACGAGATCGCTTCGAGCACGTATCCGCCTTGGAGCAAGCTCGCATGAAGCTGCGTGCCTGGTCGTAGATGGCATCTATCCAAGACTACACTGCGTCATTTATGGGCCTCACCGACCAAGTGGATGACATGTCGGAAGCAGAGCGGTTGGATAAATATATCAGCGGCCTCAAGTACGAGATTCAATACGAGGTTCGCAGGAGCCGCCCGACATCATTCCTAGAAGCAGTACGGCTGGCGGAGTCAACAGATGCGCTGATGCAGTATGCGAGAGCAGCTTCCCGGGAGGGAATCCGCTTTCGTGGCCAGACCCATCGGGCCACGATCAACGCCGTCCATACACCTGACCGCCCTCCTAAGGGACCGTGTTATAAGTGTGGGAAGATGGGTCACTACATGCGCGACTGCCACGAGAAAACGCCCTTGACGGGGAATGACAGGAAGGAGCAGGGAAATGGGAAGAGTCGGTAATTAGCGGGCCCTTTACTGACTGCGCTCCGTCGCCCGAACCCCACCATCCCCACCGAGTCGTGGTTCCGATTCATCCAATCTATTGCACTCGGCCGAATAACGGGGATAATCATGTGGATCACCCTGTACTGGTCGCTGGCAAGGTGTTAAAAAATAATTAAAAAATGTTCGTTCACACGAACGTATTAAAAAATAATTACAAAACTTTCGGCCTCACGAACGCGCCTTCAACCTTTCAGTTAACCATGAACAGGGTTTTTCGGGATACTTGGACGATATCCTCATTTTTAGCAAGACACGGGAGCAGCAACTCCGGGAACTTGACGCAGTGTTTAAACGGTTGCAAGAGAATCGCCTCATCACCAAAGGCTCTAAGTGCGAGTTTTTTAAGCAGGAGTTGGAGTTTTTGGGACACGTCATCTCCCGCGACGGCGTTAAAATCGACCCGGCAAAAATCAAGACCATACAGGAGTGGAAGTCCCCAACGAACGTCACGGAACTACTTTCTGGGGGTTTGTGAATTACGTCAGGCGGTTTATCCTGAATATGGCGGGGATAACCGGCCCGCTGACCGACCTGCTGCACAAGGACAGGAATTTTGTGTGGGGGGAGGAGGCAGAGGCGGCTTTCCAGGAGTTGAAGAATTTCCTTGTTTCCCCTCCTGTGCTGCGCATCGCCGACCCATCGAAGCCGTTCGAAGTTGTCACCGACGCCTCCGATTTCGCCATCGGAGCTGTACTACTCCAAGATTTCGGGAACGGGCTACGGCCGATAGCCTACGAGTCACGCAAGCTGCAGGCAACTGAGCGCAACTACCCGATTCACGACAAGGAGATGCTCGTCATTATACACGCATTTAAACTGTGGCGCTGCTACCTGGTGGGCGCCGGCATCACTGTTCGCACGGACCACAAGTCCCTACAATACCTGCGAGCTCAGCCCAACCTCAACCCGAGACAGATTCAGTGGCTGGACTACATGGAGAGCCACTTCACCTACCACATCACGTACAAGAAGGGGGCAAATAACATCGCCGACGCCCTGACCCGACCGACAGTACAATCCGCTGCGGTACTCATTAACCATTCGAACCCATTACTTACAGGACTACTCACCCACGGCTACACTACGGACGCGTTCTTCACGACTGGAAATCATCAGCAAGCCATGACGAAGAAATGAGATTATTAACTAAAGGCCGAAACTGACCGGATTTGGGTTCCCGTGTACCGGCTGCTGCGTTAACTCCTTATCCAAGAGGTCCACGATTCCATCTTCTCCGGACATTTCGGGGTTGACAAAACCCAGAAATTGCTGCACCGTCAATATTATTGGCTTGACTCCTCTAACGATGTGCAGCGATATGTGTCCTCATGCAGGGTGTGCCAAGCCATGAAATCGACACGTCAACGGCCAGCTGGGTTGCTCCAACCCCTCGAGCCACCCGAACGACCGTGGCAACAAGTGACAATGGATTTCGTCACGGGAATGCCAGCTGGACCGTCCGGCAACGACGCTGTTCTCGTCGTCGTCGATCATCTCACGAAAATGGCGCACTTCGCACCGTGTCGTACGACAATCACAGCCGAAGAAACTGCGCGCCTCTTCATCTCAACGGTCGTGCGACTGCACGGAATTCCCTCGACGATCATCAGCGACCGAGATCCGAAGTTCACGTCGAAATATTGGAAGGAAACGTGGGCGCAGTACAGCATGAAGCTACAGTTCTCCTCGGCATACCACCCGCAAACGGATGGCCAGACCGAGCGGACCAATCAGACCATGGAGCAACTGATTAGGACGAACTGCCCCGACCCTACTCGCTGGGAAGACTCGCTCGCCATGTTGGAGTTTGCCTTCAACAATGCCCCGTTCAACACGACTAATCGCTCCCTGTTCTTCTTATATTACGGGATGGACCCGACGGTGCCTACAACGACTACACTCGACAATCCGGTCCCGCGGTCACAAACATTTGTGACGGAACTACAGGAAGTTCGCGAGAAAGCTGCGGACGCAATTCGCAAGGCGAATACCACTTCCCGCAAATACACCAACCTTTTACGATGGGAACTCGTCTTAGCAGCTGGGCAACTAGTGCTTCTCGACACGAAGAACCTGCACCTGCCCGGCCCATCGAAATTACGACCACGATTTTGAGGGCCTTTCAAGATAATCAAGATGGTGACACTTATCACCGCGAAGCTGCTGCTACCCGACGACTGGCGTATACATGACGCCTTCCACGTCAGCTTATATCGCAGGTTCGTACCAGCCACGACAGACATCGCACGACAACAGGCTGCACCGACAGCACGTCCGGTACCAGAACCGACACTCGACCCGTCCAAAATATTGGCGCATCGTGTACGACTGGACGCCGCTGGTCGCCATGTGGATTTTCTCATCCGTTGGACTGACCGCACCAGTGAAGACGACACGTGGGTGTCATCCGCATGGCTTGAAGACGCTCCGCTTATTGGTGATTATCTCGCCCGCAAGCGAGGTGCGGATATTGGCCACCTTTCTTAAGGGTGGTGGGGGGGGGTAGTGTAAGGAATTTTCCCGAATTCCTTATCGGGGTTGACTGCTTCGCATACAGCCCCGATTTTCGGACTCTGCACGTTTGGCCGACATCAACGATGCCGAGGCTCCTCGCGTCGCCTTCGGCGTTTCCCTTCGCCAAACCTGCACCCAACCTCGCTCACCCGAGGTTCCCTCCTAGCTAGGCTAGCCACTACATTAGCGTGTGCCTTCATTGTATGCTCCGGCTGTTGAATCACAATCTCGTTATTCGTTAATATGCGCACTCTCCTTTACTACTCATAACAAACAATTTCACAGGTTTAATTTTGTTGTATTGGGTGCGGCTTTGCTCGTATACAGAGTGTGACACAAGATTAGGCTGGCCCTACCGAGAGGTTCCAATACACGGGCAGGTTAGGTGATAGTCCAGGCATATTTTTTGCGTGAGTTACGGGACGGCAAAGCATGAAGCTGAAAACGTTTTTAGGAATTTCAGGAAGTTGGCTTGTGCTAAATCGTAGTTTGGGCAGCTGATGTGGAACTTGTTGGATGGAAAATAATCCAAGGACCAATTAGAACGGGGACTTGAGAGCATGGAGAGACAATGGAAAATTCCGAGAGAATCAAACCCGAACGAGAAGAAGAAAACGCTAAGGAATACAAACCTAGAGAATCGAAACACGAAGGGAACATAAAAAGTTACTGTAACGGGGTTTGGGTTAGTGCCAACCACCTGCTTGCTCGCTATTATTGACGGTGTTGGTCTAGCCTCAGATCCGATTATTTGGTGCCCACCTCGCTCTCACATCTTAGAACCTAGATTAGTAGTTTCGTCTCTCGTATGACTTGCTCTTGCTCCTGGTGCCCTGTTAGTCGATACCGCTTCAGATCTTACCTTTTTTTTTTTTAGCAAACGAATGGCAGCAGTCTGTTTCATTTGCGTGTATTTTCAGAATTACTAAGAATTACCCGTCTGATTTGTATACTCGTTACTTCACGAAGGGATTATACTCTCGAACGGACGGTGGCGGCCCACTCGTTGAGCGCATGCTCGAGCGTCAGGCAATCCGCGCTAAGCTTAGTTTCCGCGTAGTAAATTTCAAGACTCAATGTCTGTTTTTACATCTAACCCTAGAAACGGTATGTCTGTTTGATGCGCGCTTCGCTGACGCGCGCTGATGACGCCTTAACTCAACATCCTAAAGTCTCGTGATTGGAATGGCGGAGCACGAATGCAAGTTCAGGCTCCTTTATTTTCTTCCTCTTCCCTCCCCATCCTGTCACCCTTCCCCCCTCCTTTCGCCGTTCCCCCTTCCTTTCGCCGAGTTAACTTCTTTCAAAACTGAAAGGTGGCAATGTTGCCTCCTCACTCCTCCATGCCCCTCACTCTCATCCCTCCCGTGACTCGCCCCTCACCCCATTCCCCATTTCGCCCACCCCTCGTCCCTTTCGCATTCATCCTTATTCCTCCTGCGCTGATCCTTTTTTCTCCCTGCTCACCTCTCAATCCACCACCGTTCATCCCTCTCTGCACTTATCTGTCATTCCCCTTGTTCCCTTAATTCCCCCCCGTGCTCTCCCGTCATACCCCCTGCGCTCACCCTTATTCTCCTTGTGTTTATCCCTCATTCCCTCTGCGTTCCCTCATTTCCCCTGCAGCTCTCACCCCTTGTTCCCCCTGTATTCATCCCTCATTCCCCCTGTGCTCACCCTTCCCCCTTCCCGCATCCTTCCCTTCTGCACTCATCCCTTCCCTATTCCCGCACCCTTTCCCCTTCGCCTATCATTCACCCTGCCTTACCCTCATCCCCCCTGCGCTCATCCTTCATCATCCCCCCTGCGCTCATCCTTCTTCCCACCTGCGTCCATCCCTCATCCCCCCTGCGCCCATCCCTCATCCCCCCTGCGTCCACCCCCCATCCCCCCTGAGCCCATCCCTCATCCCCCCTGCGCCCATCCCTCATCCCGCCTGCACTCATCCCTCATCGCCCCTGTACTTATCCCCTTCCCCCTGTGTTCATCCCTCATCTCATCCCCTCCCTCCTGCGCTCATCCCCTTCCTCCTGTGTTCATCCCTCATCCCCCCTGTGCTCCTCACCAAGCCTTTCCCCTGCACTCATTCCTTATTTGCCTTGTGCTCATTCCTCATTCTCTCTGTGTTCATCCCTCCTTCCCTTTGCTCTCATCCCATTCTCCTGCACTTGGCCTCATCTCATCGACAACTGTACAAGTTGCTTCACCAAGGCACAACCTTTACCTTGCTCGGAAAACACAGCAGCATTGGAGCACAAAATCCAGCAAGAACAAGGAACTTGGCACAACTGTGCAGTTGAGGCCTGTGTTCATCCCTCATCTCCCCTGCACTCATCTCCTTCCCCCTGTTTTCATCCCCCTCACCCCTTCTAAGCTTCCTCACCAACCTTTCCCCTTGCATGCATCCCTTCTTTGCCTTGTGCTAATTGCTCATTCTCTGTGTTCAACCCTCCTCTTTGCACTCATCCCTCCTTTGATCAACAACTGTACAAGTTGCTTCACCAAGGCACAACCTTTACCGTACGTCGCTGCAGCAGCAGCATTTTTAAGGAAAAGGAACTTAGCGCAACTGTACAATTGCGGCCTGACTGCATTTAAGCAGGGTTGGCTTGCATTTAAGCAGGGTTGGCTGTTCTCAGCGTACCGTATCAGGAGAGACTTTATGGAATCAGTGAGGTGATTTTTGAGAGCTGACATCGGCCCCCGCCCACTTCCTTCTATGCTTGTGTATTATTTGTTGTGTCCGCTCATGGTAACCTTTTTCATGTTGGCTCAACACCGCAAGTAGAGCCATCTTGAGTTGACTAAAAAGTCAAAAGTCGAATCTTGCGAGCTGAGTGTGTGCCTCCTCCACATCCTTCTGTGCTTTCTTCCTCCGGTAGAATATGGGGCAGTCACGACTGCCAGGGCAAGAGAACAGGGGGGAGGGAGTGATCATTCAAGTCAAGCAGTCAACAGTGGCGCCTCCTCCACGTCCTTGTGTGCTTTCTTCCTCCAAAAGAATATGGGTAGTCGCGGCCGCGAGGCAATAGAAGAGAGGGAAGTGAGGTCATGCAGGTATAGAAAAGGTCACCACCAGCGCACCTGCGACAGCATCACCACCAGCGCACCTGCGACAGCATCACCACCAGCGCACCTGCGACAGCATCACCACCAGCGCACCTGCGACAGCATCACCACCAGCGCACCTGCGACAGCATCACCACCAGCGCACCTGCGACAGCATCACCACCAGCGCACCTGCGACAGCATCACCACCAGCGCACCTGCGACAGCATCACCACCAGCGCACCTGCGACAGCATCACCACCAGCGCACCTGCGACAGCATCACCACCAGCGCACCTGCGACAGCATCACCACCAGCGCACCTGCGACAGCATCACCACCAGCGCACCTGCGACAGCATCACCATCAGCGTACCTGGTAGAGAGCACGTCTTGATGCAAGCTTCCCTGACACCGCTGGCAGTAGGTGCAACAAGATACAAAGCAGCAGCACCAACCCACAGCTATAGCCCCACCATCCCACCACCAGCGTACCTGGTACAGAGCACGTCTTGATGCAAGCTTCCCTGACACCGCTGGCACTCCACCCACAGTCTTCCGAACTGCTCCTCACACTCCCGCACTGGAAGAGCAGGCAGCAAGCACGAGAATGAAAACAGGGAGCGTTGAAGGAAGCACACAGCAAGCAGCATGAGAGACACGATTGCAATTCACAAGCACACCCAATTCACAAGCACACCCAATTCACAAGCACACCCAATTCACAAGCACACCCATCCAAAGCATTCCACACTGCTCCTCACACCCCTGCTTTGAATGACATGCAAATAAGCAGCATGTACGCACACGCAGCAAGCAGGGTGAGGTGAGGGGTACGACGGCAAGTCACACGCATACGCCAGTGTCTCTTTCTCACCGTTGGATGTGATCCGTTGGTAAATCTCGCCCTCTCGGTCCATGCAGTGTACACATAGGGTCTGGGAACTGCCACTAGCACAATCGTTGGTAAACAAAAGGAGGCTTACCGTTAGATGTGATCCGTTGGTAGATTTCGCCCTCTCGATCCATGCAGTGTGCACATAGGGTCTGGGAATTCCCACTGCCAGGAGAGAAACAGAGGGAACAAAAAGGCGATGCGAGAGGACAAGAGGACAAGAACATAAAAAAGGAGTGATATGAGAAGATAGAAACCAGCGCATAGGTGCATACGCACCAGACGTTGGAGGATACCCAAACATGCCATCTGGGTGGTGCCTAAGCACAGCAGTTTCCAGAATTCTTTCGGGAACTTTTGCACTTTCGGTTTGGGCAGAAAGAGTTCAAACAAGAGGGACTTAGCAGTTCTCTCCTTTCATTTGTTACGTTTCCAAAAGATAGAGCCAGAGTGACTCCGTTACCTGAGGGGCGTCTTGCAGCCCAGACAGGAGAGCCGGACTTTGGCGAATCGCATGATGCCACCTGTCGAAGGCGTGGAGATGGAAACTGCACGTGTGTGCGCGCCACTCAGCAGCTCCTTACTCGCGTTCTTCAAGATGGGTTCGAATATTCTCAGCAGCGGCTGCACCATTAGGTTTAGGAAGGGGGGCGGAGAGAGGGTTTTGGGGTGAGTGGAATGTTACAGATTGAGTGTGTGCGCGCCACTCAGCAGCTCCTTCCTTGCGTTCTTCATAAAGGGCTCGAAAATTCTGAGTAGCGGCTGGAATATTGGGGTTTCGGGTTGAAGATATGGGATTAAGGGGTGGAGAGGGGTGCGAGATGGACACTGCACGCGTGTGGGCCCCACTCATCGGCCCCTTGCTGGCGTTCTTCCGAATGGACTCGAATATTCGCAGCAGTGGCTGGAACGTCGGGGTTTATAGGGTTTGAGTTTCGGGTTTCAAACAAGAAGGAAGATGGGGGGGGAGAGGGTTTTGAGTGGTGTATGGATCACCGAGTGCGCGCCACTCATCAGCTCCTTGCTCACATTCTTCAGGATGGGTTCAGACATCCGCAGGAAAGGCAGAGTCACATGAGGTTGGGAGGGCGGAGAGTTGGGGGGTGTGAGTTTGCGCTGCATGAAAGTGGGTGGGAATTATGGATTGAAATATATTTTTTCTCACCAAGCTGTGCACGAGGACTTTCTGCGTAGGTTCTCGAGGTAAGCGTGCCGGTCACTTGGGATAATCTTTGTTCCTTGACGTGAGCTGCTTAATGCATCAACATCTCACCCTCACCTTGCTCAGTTGGTTCTCCAGGTAATAGTGCGGGTCGATGGGGATGTTGTTCTCTAACACGTGGATAGGGTCCTCTGACTTCTCATACGCCTGATGACAGGGGACAAGAAAAGGGATGAGGGGCGAAAGGTCACAGCGTGAAGCATTCTTATAACCACGTATGTTGTTCTCCAGCACGTGAATCGGGTCCTCTGACTTCTCGTACGCCTGATGGCATGGGACAAGACAAGGGATGAGGGGCGAAAGGTCACTGGGTGAAGCATTCTTACAACCACATATGTTGTTCTCCAGCACGTGAATCGGGTCCTCTGACTTCTCCTATGCCTGATAACGGGGAAAGACACAAGGGACGAGACAAGGAATGCAGCGCACAAGGGCTGTGGTTACGACGTTCTCAGTGCAGGTCGATGGGTATGTTGTTCTCCAGCACGTTTATTGGGTCCTCCGACTTCTCAAATGCCTGATGGGAGGGGACAAGACAAGGGATACGCAGGAAAAGGTCACCCATTCAGCCTTTGATGGGTGGACGGATTTGTGGCCCTCACGCCGCAAATTCATCCACCCAGTCAGCCTTTGATTTCTCGTATGCCCGAGGGAATGCGGAGTGGGAGAGAGCATGTCTAACAGGATTTTATGTCATTTTTTCCAGCTCTTGAAGACATAATCCAGAATTCTGTTACAAGCGCCTACGAAAAGCATACAGGAGAATCTCACCGAGCTTCTTCTGGAGTCTAATGCTTAATAATGCTTGTGCAAGGTGCTCACCTTGCTTCCTTTTGGCGCCTTGCAAATGACATAGGCCACTCGATCCCCGATGCCCGGTGCTGTGGCAGGGTCATGCATGAGTGGGTTGGTTGGACCCATGAGTGAGGTGAGCATCCCGGGACCTCTCAGACATGCATGTCACAACCAGCTCACCTTGCTGCCTTTTGGCGCCTTGCAGATGACATACGCCACTCGATCCCCGATGCCCGGTGCTGTGGCGGGGTCATGCATGAGTGGGTTGGTTGGACCCATGAGTGAGGTGAGCATCCCGGGACCTCTCAGACATGCATGTCACAACCAGCTCACCTTGCTGCCTTTTGGCGCCTTGCAGATGACATACGCCACTCGATCCCCGATGCCCGGTGCTGTGGCGGGGTCATGCATGAGTGGGTTGGTGCTCGTCCCCATGAGCGAGGAACCCTGGAACCTCACCTCACGTGCATGCATGCATGCCACAAGGCGCTCACCTTGCTTCCTTTTGGCGCCTTGCAGATGACATACGCCACTCGATCCCCGATGCCTGGTGCCGTGGCGGGGTCACGCTGTGAGAGAGGGAGAGAAGAAAGAACGAAGATGAAGGTGGAAAGGGAGGGTAAAAAAGGGGTGGACAGCGAAGGTGAACCCCACAAGGTAAGGAGCAGCCGATAAATGGATGCAGAGGCGGATTGGGAAAGCACGGCAACAGATGAGATGAGTAACGAAGGATGGTGTGGATCTTTGTACAGGCTCATGACTTTGGTGACACCCATGGGCTAATCAATGGATTGATCTCCTTGCGTGTCCGATAAGAAAAACTTATCGTAAATTTGGGGTCGCAAACTATGTCACAACCCTAGAGACACCTTGCGCTCACCTTTCTGAGTCGCATTTTTTTTTCTAGTCGCCTAATATTTTCCGAGTCGCCTAAAAATATGCACAAGCATAAGATGAGCCCACCTTGCGCATTCTCTCTGCCAGCTGGACGTGGGCCGCCTTGACTGCGTAGTCGTCACCTCCCTTGGTTAGCCCCTTGGTGATAACCAGCAGTGAGAGGTCGAGCTTGTTCAGGAGGAGATCCGAAATGACAGCCTTCACATACGCCACGGCCCCAGGGATATCTCGCTCCATTAGAATCCGCCGTAAGCACTCGTCCACCACCTGTAAGGTGGGGTGAACCAGTGGGGCACGAGACGATACACGAGGTGTTTCAACATGAAGGTGATAACGAGCAGCGAGAGGTCGAGCTTGTTCATGAGGAGATCCGAGATGACAGCCTTCACATACGCCACAGCTCTGGAGCCCCAGAACCATTAGTATGGGGGAGAGGAGACTTCTGAGTCGAATATGACAGCCTTCACATACGCCACGGCTCCTGGAATATCCCGCTCCATTAGAATGTGCCGCACGCACTCGTCCACCACCTGTGCGGGGGGGAAGCCAGTGGGGCACGAGACAATACATGAGGCGCCTCACTACAGAATGACAGCTTTCACATACGCCACAGCTCCAGGAATGTCCCGCTCCATGAGGATCCGCCGCAAGCACTCATCCACCACCTGTGCGGGGGGGAAGCCAGTGGGGCACGAGACAATACATGAGGCGCCTCACTACAGAATGACAGCTTTCACATATGCCACAGCTCCAGGAATGTCCCGCTCCATGAGGATCTGCCGCAAGCACTCGTCCACCACCTGGTGGTCGGGCAAGCCAATGGGGCACGAGACAATATATGAGGGTGCCACAGCCCCGGGGATATCATGCTCCATTAAAACGCACCGCAAGCACTCGTCCACCACCTGGAGGTGGGTGGGGTAGGAGTTGAAACAGCGCAAGGTGACTCCTGGGGTTGCTCAGTTGCTCAACAGATGACAGCCTTCACATACGCCACGGCCCCGGGGATATCCCGCTCCATTAGAATGCGCCGCAAGCACTCGTCCACCACCTGGAGGTGGGGCAAGAGTTGAAACAGCGCAAGGTGACTCTTGAGGTTGCTCAGTTGCTCAACAGATGACAGCTTTCACATACGCCACAGTTCCTGGTATATCCCGCTATATTAGTATCTGACACAAATACTCGTCTACAACCTGAAGAGCACAAAGGCTAATCCGTCTGACTGCAATTTCATATCAGAACATTTCAGATCAGAAGATTTCAGATCAGAACATCTCAGATCAGAACATATCAGATCAGAACATATCAGATCAGAACATATCAGATCGGAACACGCCCGGCTTACCTGTCGGACCAAAAGGCAGTTGTCTCTCCGAACCGTCTCAATACCTGTGTGGGTCACAAGGAGGGAGGAAAGAGAAGAGGAGACATAAAATTTATTTATTAAACAGTTCGCTCTACTGCACTAAGAATGCCAAACAAATCGCAACATGCCTTAGAGACGATGAGTGGCCACCAAAAGACGCTTGCCTGTTCAACTGTCCTTGTGAGCTTGTGGTCGTATCTTTACTGGCACTGTCACACCTTATGCACCGTCAATACCTTTGGTGTCCATCTTATCGAAGGCCTTTGAATTCGGTCAGTGCAGCCACTTGTTGCAATTTAAATGTATCACAAACTATGGTGTCATAAGTCATGCGTCGTACCTTTGGTGTCCATCTTATCAAAGGCCTTGAAGTTGGACCAGTACAGCCCGGCGTCGCGCTCCTTGCGTCTATTATAGTCACACCCATGCTGTTGTCACACCTCATGCACCGTCCGTACCTTTGGTGTCCATCTTATCAAAGGCCTTGGAGTTGGACCAGTACAGCCCGGCGTAGCGCTTCTTGTTGATCAGCAGGTACGGGAAGTACACCTTCTCAAACTCCAGCCTGATTGGCTGCAACAGGACCAGGGCAGACAGGAAAAAATATTGTGATTCTTTGGTTTGTTTGTATTTTTATTTCCTCCCGTTTGGATAGAGGGCGAAAAAAACGGAAATGAGGGAAATCACCAGAACAGACAAAAACCTTCTCAGATTCAACTATCCAGAAGAGAGGGGCTCTCTCTCACCATGGGAAATGTATCAGAGATCTCTTCAGCTGCCTGCCTGCCCATGCGCATGGCCTCCCCGACAGTGTCCACGCCAAACATGACCATCACCGAGTCGGTATCGCCAAACACCACATCGGCATTGTGCGAGTAGCCGTTGGCTCGTGTTTTGAGTCGACTCAAAACATGAAGCATACCTTGGGAAAGGTATCAGAGATCTCCTCGGCTGCCTGCCTGCCCATGCGCATGGCCTCTTCAACAGTGTCCACGCCAAACATGACCATCACTGAGTCCGTGTCACCGTAGACCACATCGGCATTGTGCGAGTAGCCATTGGCGATGGAGTAGTGCTGCTCCACAAACGCCCTCGTGTGCTCTATCATCTGCCGCC